AACTAAAAAGAATTCGACGTTCCTTAAAATTTTCAAAGCCTTCAATGATAGCATCAATACTCAGACTTTTAGCAATTTCTCTTTTAATAAACACCATTAATGCGTCGGAGAGGAAAGCATCCTCCATTTTACTTCGAAGTCTAGTCTTGACGATATTCATAGCTGAGAATAATCGTTCTGCAGTAGCGGTAGAAACTGGAAGAGTAAGCACAAGTACGATCACTCTAGAAATGAGGTCGTATGTAGCAGATTTATTAGTCTTTACCAACCATTGACTCAACTCAGAAATGGTTGAAAGAGTTTTGAAGTCTGACCCTTTGACTACATTATGCTCATAATGTTTCAGTTGCATCTTCAAACTCTCTTTTTCTTCACTTGTAAAATCTTGTGCATAAAACTTGCCAACCAATTTGCATATATCTTGTATTCTCAAAGCCTCAGATGCATTTTGAGGATTTAAGGCAGAACTAAGCATGAGCAATTCTGTCGCATCTTCACTAAAACGCACATTAATTTTTTACATTTGTGAATCGATCGCGACATAAAGAAAGTCTAATCGATAATGATGCCCAATGGTGATGTCTTGATGACCACGAGCTCATTCTGCCCATTCGCTAAATACCTCTCCATAAATTTCCAACTTCAATGAAACCCCCTTTATTAATCTTGTTGCTACTCATGGTAATATATTTACTATTAATATATACATAAAAACCCTCAAATAATTAATATTCACAAATTAATTTTTTTCTCCAAATTAGGAATAGAGCACCTTAATTTTTCCCCCCAAAATTTTGAGGGGGCTTGAGGAATAGAGCACCCTAATTTCCCCCCCAAATTTTGGGGGGGCCGTGGCCCCCCCTGGACTGTATGTAGATCCTCCCCTGTGCATAAGAAAAGTAAAGTTACAAGCAATACCAAACAACTGCAACTACAAGTTAGAAAATTTTAAATAATTGAACCAAACAGTTGCAAGAGTAGTTGCATGCAAGTAGAGTAGTTGCATGCAAGTGATACTTAAGTTGCAACTACAGTTATAATCTATCAAAGCCCACACTAAACAAGAATCAAAATAATTCATAACTTCCAAATATTTCAATTCTAGCTTTATTCTCTAAACTACACCCAAATATGAGAATAAAAATTAAGAATTCCATCCCCATGTTAATTCTATTGCATTCATTGCTTCATTGCATTTTCACTTTATCAGATTCTCACATAACAAATAATGAATTTAATAATTCAAGGGGTAAGAAGAGACTAAAAATAAGTCATGACGTAGGAGGAATAAATTTAGCAGTTTATAGAGCAAGCATGGTGTGTAGCCTTTCAAAAATTAAAGCCGAAAAAAAGAAAGGCTAAATATCATAAACACCTCTCCCCCAAAAACTTTGGATAATTAGCAGAAAACCACCTTTAAGTTTAGGGGTTATCGGAAAACTCATTTTAACTTTGAGATTTTATTAAGAACCCCCTATAATATTAAGGGAATTCTTTGATAAGATCTCAAATTTAAAGGGGGTTTTGTAATAAAATATGAAAGTTAAAGGGATACAACCCCCATAATGTAGGGGGTTTTTATGATAAAATCTCAAATTTAAAGAGGATTTTCTACTAAAATATGAAACTTAAAGGGGGTTTGTGACAATCCCTATACTTAAGAGAGTTTTCTCTTTTTTTTTTTTTTTTTGGGGGGGGGGGCTTCTTATAATATATTAGTGAGTTTTTTCTGAAAAACTCAATATAATGGGGGTTTTTAAATAAATCTGAAAGTTGTAGAGGATAACCCCCCACCCACTCACCCACACCCACACCTCAATTTAGGAGGGGTTTTCTGATAGAATCTCAAATTTAAAGGGAATTTTCTCATAAAATCAGAGAGCTAGGAGATTCTCTGATAGAATCTAAAAGTTAAAGTGGTTTTGTGATAATCCCTATAATTAAAGGGGGTTTTCTGATATTTCGAAACTTAAGGGGGGTTTCCTGCTAATCATCCAAAGGTAAGGAGGGTTTTCTGATATTTTCGCCAAAAAGAAACACACCTGGGCGTAATGACGCATGTCAAATAATTTTACTTAATAATCCAGCTGCTGAGTACGTGTCAACAGAAATGGGCCCAACGATCTCGGCGCAGATGCTCGGTAAGTCAAGTAGCCCATAGAAACAGCCGACTTGGGCCAATATCGTAAGGCCCACAGATACACAGAGGGATGCTGTCAAACGTCAGTGGCCACTGGTCATCTATGGTCCTAATTCGTTTGGGGGCCTCTTTCTAGATTGCACTTACTATTTAGTTTTTACGAACATACAAATTTCCATAACCTAATTATGTGGATTGATCCGACGTCGAAATGAATATTTCAAAGGCTTAATATTAATCCAAAAATTAAATACCTCATGATTTACGATATTATCAAATTTTATGTATATCGCTAAAAGAACGATATCGTTGATTTATTTCGCATTCAGTCGTAATACTATTTTTTGTGGAACAAGATCTATGGCTTTAAATAGAACAAAATTTCTCAAGCCAGGACTTGCTCAATATTTTTGACACGTCTAAAAACTGGGGGCTTTTGTCTTAGATCTATTAACTTATTGTTAAAATACAACCCAGATATTATACAGATAGATATTACTTACCACCAACGAGCGACTCAGGTTGCCTGGTTGTATCATCGTAACCTTAGGAGTCTAGATTCAATTCTCAGACCGTATTCAACTGGTTTTGTGCAAGATTAAAGGTGAAGCTCAACAACTATAAATTTTTTGGACAAATTTTTAAAACCAACCCTTTTCATGATTTAATTGTCAAAAACGACCCGTTTCTGTTTTATTTAGAGAAACCGACCTGGTTTCAGCACTGTCGCTGAAACCAGGTCGGTTTTTGAAAAAGACTTTATGAAACTTCACGGGAGTTGAACTCCCGTGAAGTTTTTTCTCATAACAAAACTTCACGGGAGTTGAACTCCCGTGAAGTTTTGGAAATTTTTTTTCAAAAACCGACCCAGTTTCAACCAACTGGATCGGTTTTTATAAATAAAATAGAAACGGATCGTTTTTTGCAATTAAATCATGAAATGGGTTGGTTTTGAAAATTTGTCCTAATTTTTTTAGTTAGGTCGAGCTTCTTAAAAGGAACGCAGTCTGAGAGAAGGTCCTAAGATTCAAATTTTGTTTGTAGCCCCTCCTACCCAAGTTTCCTTTAAAAAAAACAAACAAATAAACAGTACTACGTATTTATATGCGGAGCCCACCGCATGCCTAGATTTCAAAGCTGTCAAAAGTCATTTAAAAACAAACACACAGACGATCAGCCCACTCGGCCACTCCAACCAGCACTTCCCACGTGACTAGTTCGGTGCAGTCAAGAACCATTAAACTCTCCGAAGTCCAAACTCACCAGCAGCAGAGTCGTCCCACAGATAGGCATGTCCATCCGGGCAAAACCGGAGCCCGGTCCCAGTTGCTCCGTGTCGGGCCCGTGACGCAGACGTAGAAATGGGGAGGCTGATCGGATATCGTCCCGATGCCGACGAGCCCTGACAACAGCATGTATTTCACGAGCTTGAATCCACATGCTCTAAGTTTCTCAAAGTTGAGAACGAAAACAAAGAGAAAATTCTCTTAATTGAATAATTAAAAAGTTAATTCACAATTTACAAAAGGAACTAATATTTATAGCCAACTAAATCTATCCTAACTCTAATAAAAAAAACTCTAAGTCTAAAAGGAAATAACCAAATCCAAAAAGGAAATAACAAAAAAGTAACTCTTTCCTAATCTGAAGCGACTAGCACCGTCTTTCGTGTCGACTGGACATGAGTCGACTAAGCATGTCGAGTCGTCCCGCCTTTCGTGTCGACTGGCATGTGTCGGTTCAAGGACCTTGAGTGATGATCTTACAAGATAGGGATGTAGACAAAAGGGGGAGCAAGTATTGTATTTTTTTCTTTATTTTCTTCTAGTAAAGTATTACCTCAAATGATGGATAAAAATAATGTACTCCTTTTCCTTCACTAGGGTTTTTCCCATACCTAGTAAGGTTTAAATGAGGCATATTTTTTGCTGAATAAATGGACATCCAAGGGGAGTGTTATAATATTATTATTATTATGGATTATGGATGTCCATTGGTATTCCAATGAGTTATAGTAGTACTAATTGTAGATGTCTATTGACATTCCCAAGTAAATTCTCATAAATATGATGCATGTAATATCTCCCTTTCACATGCCTATAAGAAGATGACATGAGATTGTATTTGTAAGTGAAGAAAAAAGAAGAATTGAAGGATTGAGTGCTCGTTGTATTCTCTCTATTCTCTTTACTCATATTGCTATCCATTAGCTTGATAACACAAAAAATTTAGTTAGAAAGTAACCCAAAAATACTTTATCATAGTATTTAATCACGTGCATTGCACGTATATAAAACCTAGTGACGATAAATTAAACAATATTTCACATCATTTTCTTTTTCTTTAATTTCAAATACATTTTGTTAAATATAAAAACATTCGATTGTATGTGCGATTGTATGTGCGGGTTGATGTGCAATGCGCTTCACACTTTGTAAACAATGTGAGCTTCAAATTTTCAGATCCACCTTCAGTTTGCCAAACAATTACATAAATCTTTTTGTCAATTATTAACAAAAAAAAAATAGCGGAACCACACAAAAATTAGATAACGACCATCACGGTGTCACGCCACGATTTCTACAGAATCTTTAAACGTGTGAAAGTTAGCTACAACTTCTCCAAATTCAGGGGTATCAAATTCAAAAATGATGTGAAGTCCTGATATTTAAGTGCTAATAATCCTGCAAAAAAAAAGGAAATATCTGGTATTAACAAATTTTATCGTATTCCCGAAACACAAAAAGGCACTTCCCATCAGCCCAAAAACTGACAAAACACGGCCAACACCTCTACCATTTTTGACCGTTGGTCCCATTACCCCACATTAATTAGCAGTTATAAATTCCAACAGACCGTTGCCATTCAAAATAAAGTGTCTTTTTTCTCTTGTCGAAGCAAAAAAACTGGGACTGGGACTGGGACTGGGAAAAGAAACCAACAAGAAGAACAGAGGATGGGCTGCATCTCGTCCAAATTTCTCGCCGCCTCCGACCTCGATCGCAAGATCTCCGCCCACCACGTCGTCTCCCTCACTTCCACCACTTACGGAGCTCTCAATCTCGATCACAAACAAGAAGAAGAAAAGGCACCACCCCCAAAAGAGGAAGTAGAGAAACAAATCTGCACCACGAAGGTAACCAAAATCTCCCCCTCTCCTCTTCCTTCTGCCCTCCTCTTCACTCCTCAGTCAAAGAAAAGGGTCGCAGCCGAAGAGCCCTCGGAGATCATCGACACTTGGGAACTGATGAAGGATCTCAGCGACGAGATCCCGATTTGGTCTCCAGCCATGAGGCCAGCAAAATCTCAAGCCACCGACTCGCCGAAGAAACAAAGGAGGAGGCTTTTAAGTAAAGAGAACAACTCCCCGAGAGATTTTTCTCCGAGACAGACCCCCAATCCTAATAGGGTTCTGAGACCTTTCAGTTCTTCAGCGAATAGGCAACCCAGCAAGCTTGTCATCGATGTCAAGAGCCCAAAAGTACTGGAGAAAGACTGGGGAAACGCTGGGTCTAGAAGAAGCTTAAGCCCACTGTTCGATCCTGAGCTCGTCGCTTCATTTGAAAAAGAGTTGAAGAAAGAAGGTGAACAGATTAAGAAGACGGTTCCTAAAAAGCCCAATTCATCGTCGCTCTTGTTGGAGAAGTTCGAAGAGAAATGCCCGCCGAGCGGAGGGAATGCTTTGATTCTCTATAGCACCACATTGAGAGGAATTAGAAAGACATTTGAGGATTGCAATGTGGTGAGGAATTTAATAGAAGGTTACGATGTGAGGATTATCGAGAGGGATATATCGATGGATTCGGGGTTTAGAGAGGAGTTGAGGGTTTTGATGGGGAAGGAGGAGGCGAGACCTCCGTTGTTGTTTGTGAAAGGGAGATTGATTGGCGGAGCTGAGGAGGTTCTGAAGCTAGAAGAAGAAGGGAACTTGGGGACTTTGTTGGAGGGGATTGATAAGAAGGAGGTTTCGGGTTGCGGGTTCTGTGGAGGGATGAGGTTCGTTATGTGCAGAGAATGTAACGGGAGTTGCAAGGTTTTGGATGAGGAGGAGAAGAAGATGGTCAAGTGTGAAGAGTGCAATGAGAACGGATTGATCCATTGCCCACTTTGTTGCTGATTCATTTGTGTAAGGTTAGTGGGTTGATTTATCATCTACCCATCAGGGGGGGATTTGGTCCTACTTTGTTACATGTAATGTATCATTCTTGTTGTTTCTTTTGATTGTAGTTTTCTACTGTTGTTTGAAGTCCAAGAAGCGCAATGAAATGGGTGGATTACTTGTATTCATTCTGTTTTTAGTTTGGTTCTTTACTTGAGATGAAGGGGACAGATTTGAGAACAAGGCATGCCTTGTTTACGGAATTGAGTTGAAAATTAGGTGCTCTTGGATTTAGACCATTCACTCTGTGGGAAGTTCTATTATGCTGCTCAGGGCTGTCGTTTTTTTTTAATCTACAGTTGTGACTTCTACTGTGGGGTGCATGCGGATAGAGCTGTCCAAAAAGCCCGCGGCCCGGTGTCCGGCCCGGGCCCGACC